CAACGTGCCCAAACCACCGAAGCACGACCTTATCAATTTTTGTGATAAGGTCATCTTTCAAACCTGCCATATTGCGAATCTCTTCGTTTCGCTTTCGGTCGGCCTTGGTAACGCCGCACATTTTACGAAGAGATCGCATCTCCACTGCATTCAACTTACTTTTATGCTTCTTCTGGCATACCCAGGTTTCGCTGCCATATACTAAAGTCGGTACCAACACTGCGTTATGTATTGCAAGGCGTGCACTCTTCGCTACGCCTTGCCTTTTGACTAACGCAGTCAGGGCACCATTGACTTTGTTCACGGCAGCGACACGCCTGTCCACATCTAAATCACATCTTCCATCCCGGCTAAAAGCACTCCCCAAGTATACAATTTCATTTACCTGTTCTAGACATTCCTGATTTACCCATATTTCACACTTCGTTCTCTCTTCGTCCCTTTCAAATACCAGAACCTTAGTTTTATTAGCATTCAAACGGAGACCTTTAATTTCACATTCCTCTTTCATACACGTGACTAATGCCTGCAGTTCTGCCTCTGATGGTGCAATAAGCACTGCATCATCAGCATACAGCAGACAATTTACTTTTATGTCACCCAATTTCACACCCAAACAGCTATCTTTCAGCTTCTGTAAACAGCTGTCGAGATACAGTATGAACAGCCAGGAAGACATGACACAACCCTGCTTTACGCCCGTTTGGACGTTAAACATGGGTGACAGGTCATGCCCTACCCGCACACAGGCTTTACAGTCACAGTAAAGAGACTGCACAGCCCTTAGCAATCAACCATCCACACCATACCCCGGCAACAGTTCCCACATTTTCTTCCTTACAACCTTATCAAATGCTTTCTCAAGATCCACAAAAGCACAGAAAATCTTCTGGTTAGCAGCCAGAAGCTTTTCCGTGATCATGCGGAGAGAAAACATTTGATCCGTGCATCCTCTTCCAGGTCTAAATCCGCATTGTGCCTCCCATAGAAATCTTTCCGATTTCTCTTGCATCCTACGTGTCAAAACCTTCGAGTAAACTTTACTTGCTAAACTAGTCAAGCTGATCGTCCGATAGCACCCGCAGTCAAAATGTGAACCTTTACCTTTATATAAAGGCACAATGACTGCGGATCGCCAATCATCCGGGACATCCCCCGTCCGCCAGCACAAATTGCACAGCAGACGAAAGCTGTCCCAGACGCGAGGCCCACCATACTTGACCATTTCAGCAGTAACTCTGTCTAGTCCCGCAGCCTTACCACATTTCAAACTTCGAATCGCACGTTCAATCTCTTTCATACTGATGACCTCAGTGTCATCGAGGTCCGGGTCTGGCGTACCAGTCACGGCGTTATCCCCGGATCCCTCACTAAGATCATCACAGGCATACATTTCTCTATAAAATTCGCTCCATCGCTGCATGACGTCCGATTTTTCTGAGAGGACGTCATTAGTTCTCGAAAGCACTTTGTTCATTCTTAAGGCCGTCGCACCACTTCGGGCCCTTCCAACCTCTTTCCAGAAGAGTTTGGAGTTCTCCTTAAAGTTGTGCGACAACCTTTCGTCCGCTTCCATTCTACACCTTTCACGCACTTCCTCAATCAGTGCTTTCGTGTGAACTTTCTGCAGCCTATATTTTTCTTTCATCTTCTCTCTCATATCCTTATCATTACTAGAGGCCAAGTAGTCTAACCATGCTTTCTTCTTCTTCTTTACAGCTTCTTTCACTTCATCATTCCACCATGCATCTCTTCTTTTACTACTGCCTCTTTTTATTGTTCCACACACTTCTTCCGCTGCACTTACCATTCCATCCCTAAGGTTCTGCCATGTTCTTTCTACACATTCTTTTCTGCCATCGATGGTGTCAAGCTTTTCAGCTACCCTCGCATGATATTTGTCCATAGTATCCGCTTCCTGAAGCTTCCAGCTTCGGATGCGACAGACTGACTGTGGTTCTGTTACTGCCGTCCGGTAGCGCCAAGCCGCGAACAGACCCCTAAATCTAGTAATCACTAGATAGTGATCCGTTCCCAGGTCAGCACCCCTGAACACTCGCGTATCCATCACCTGTTTTCGCAGTCGGTCATCCACCAGGAACAAATCGATCATACTTCTCTCATTCTTTCGTTCTCTAGTATACATATGGATTTTCTTGTGATTAAACATAGTGTTTGTCACAAGAAGACCCTTTTCCTTGCACACCGTCAGTATAAGCTTGCCAGCATCATTAACCCTTTTATCGCCAAACTTTCCAAGTACCGACTCGTACCCTGGTCGAGCGGTACCAACCCATCCATTCAAATCACCACATACAACAATTCTTTCGTTTCCCCTAGCCAAATCTAGAACTTCTCTTACATTCTCCCAAAACTCCTCCAGCTCAGCCCTGGACGACGAAGCTACCGGCGCATAAACAGCCAAAAGGAATAACTTCGTCAGTCCCAATTTAAAGCGAACCCAGAGAAGTCTTGAGTTCACAACCTTATATTCAGTCATAACATCGACCAACCGAGAAGACAGCAGCACCCCCACTCCCTGGCAGGCGTTCTCGCTCTCCGGGACTCCGGACCATAGAGCTAACGCCCCGCCAGGGAGCTCTTCAGTACCACTGCCCTTCCGTTTGGTCTCGACATACACACGACATCTAATTCTCTTTCTTTCATTATTTCGATCAACTCATTCGTCTTATCTCTCATGCCTCCTCTAACATTCCACGTGCCAACTCTACACTCTGTCCTCCACCTTCCGCCGTGTCGGGCCCACTTTTTGGGGAAAATGTCATTAACTTGCAAACATTACTCATTTGCTTGTGTACGTGTGGGCAAACGTAATTCCAGGCCGCTTATGCACACATTCATTGTGTTGTAGCTTCAACTTTGAACGGAATTTTGAATGTCACTATCACTCTATGTGTAATTAATCTAAGTGTATTATAATGTACATTTATTCTGTTTACGGCATAAATTAGGTGTTTTGAAAAAATGAAAGCAAAACAAAATAAAAAATAAATAAAAGGTAAAATGACTTCAAATAAAAGTCGAATTTAAGATGATTCATTCATTTATTTATTATTATAGAACGGATAAGCTAGGTATATACTTAATTAAAATATCATCTAACAGAGGTCAAACATCACCTATTGTAGATATTAAAATTTTTAATCGATACTTACTGTGAGTTAAATAAGATCTGACGCAAGATAAATAATTTGTGATCTTTCCAAGGATACCCTTATTTTTAAATATAATTGTTGAATAAACGTTTGAATTACTACAAACTAGATTGACTTAAACTACTGATGTGGGTAGAACATCAAATTTTATATAAGTGTATACTTAGTTTAAAGGGTGTTAGATTTGGCGATCGAAAGATACATTTGCAACTTCTGGCAAACACAGGCTCGTATCGCTTTAGATAGTGTTCCAATGTTCATACGACATATTTAACTCCATATAAATCCGTATAAATAGTAAGTTTTCCTAATTTTTATTTGTTAATGAGAGAAAGAGAGTAAGAAATTGAGAGAGAGAGAGAGAGAGAGAGAGAAAGAGCAAGATAAGAAGCCCCTTTAAAAGGAAGGCTCTTGATAACCTTGTTTAGTATTGTTTACCATTTCATGCCAAATATTGCCTAACAATGATATGTTTCAAATATCAATAATTTATCAATAATTCGTTGTGTCTATAGCCCGCATTTGACAAAAGTTTTTTATCACTCTTACAACACCGAAGACAATTAAGATATTCCAAAGATAGGGTATATGATAGATTGAGAGATCTGAATTATCTATACTAGAATTAATAAATTTTAATATAATTAACACACAATCTAACATTTAATCACATAGTTTTGATATGTTTGGGTAATTAAGCACCTTAATATGCTTTTAATGATATGTCCTCTAATATTTCGCTAAAAGGGTCTAAAAACATCCATAAACACTACAATACCGATCATATTAAAATAATTGTACTTTATCCAACTACAGATTATAATCTACAATAATTTATACTACCTTAAGATTTTAATGATATGTATCCATGGTCCTACTCTGGATTTTTTCAAAAGCCAGATATAAAGCGCATGCGTTCTTTATACGTTTCTTAATATTAATTCTAACTAGGGACAATTTCCATTTCGGCTTTATATCTCGCTTAGAACGGACACAGTTTCGATGGAGTCGCCTCTGATCTTTTGGGGAGCAAGTTATGGGATAAGTAAGCATTTCTAAGGGAGGGGCGACATTCGCAATACAGACACACATATCTTAAAAAGTTACGACCAGGGTTTGGAAGAGCCAAGTGCTATATTACTTTAATTTTTCAAAATTGTTTTTATCAGATACTTCTTTATACGGTGGATATGTTATAAAATTAATATTCTGAAAATTTTCTTTCCATATGTTTAGATTAGTTTAGTATAAATACAAATATGTATATAAATATGTAACATGACTAAAAACTGTATGAGTATGAGTATGTATGTATTATATAATTGTCCTTGGCCCTTCACAAAATATTGACGCGAGAATGTGTCCCCGACATAACTTTTAAGTCAACGGTTTTGAAAACTGTTGACAAAGATTTTAAATAGCGAAGCTTTATAAAAACATACCTAACTTACCTACAGTAATTTGAAAATTAATACCTCTCCCTATATCTATCGCAAAAAGTTACCTATTGCTTATGTTGCAACCGTAAATATATGTAAAATGAAGAAAGTATTCAAAATTTTGAAATATTTGTCGAGAGGCCATTGTTATCATAAAAGCGAGTCTACGTGGCCGGTTGTAGAAGTCGCTTTCAGCGATGAACGAGAACCTCTCGATACTAAAATCATCAACCATACTTCAATCGCACTAGGGTTCAGAAGAGAAGAGACAGTTTTAATTTCTCTTGAATTTAAAAGAATCGTAAGGAAGGTAGCTGTAGAATGATGAGCTTATGGGAGCATATTGGACGACGTGGTAGTAATCAGAGGCTGACTCCGGCGCTATTCAATCAAGGAAACCGGTGTTCACCAGTTTCTCCAGGAAGAATTTCACGTCTCCCAATTCGGAGTCCTTGATGCCGAGGGACTTCAGCATTCCGAGGTCGCCGTTCTCGACAGCCATGAAGACGGAGCGGAGGTGTTCCAAGTCCGATCTCATTAGATGCAGAGCTGCTCCGAAGTCTTCGATAGTTTGAGATTCTGAAATATATTTTAAGTTAAATTAAGATTTCTTTATATTGTACAATACTCTAATAACTTTATTTCTACTAGAAAATCTTACAACTAAATGTATTTTGATGCCATTAAAACGTCTGCCTATATGCCTTTTATGTTCTACATGTTCATCTCGAATCTTTACATTTTACCTACTTCTTCAATAAATCATTTTTGGTTACAGCTGTATGCTTGTGAAAATACTTGCCTTTATATATTCGGCGTACTCAGTCTCTTTTTTCGTTTAAAATCTACTTTAAGTTTATTGCGCGGAGCTCTAATATTTCCCATCATACTTTCCGTCCTTTGTTGTACCTACCCTTATCTGTCATCATCTTGTGTTTTTTTAAATTGTCTAATTTTTGTAAAACTTCCCTGTATGTCTTTCGTTGTAAACAACCGTTCGTTGTTTGTTTGGAAGTGTATGCGTGCGTGCGTGCATGTGTGCGTGTGTGCGTATGTGTGTATGCGTGTGTGCGTGTGTGCGTGAGTGAGTGCGTGCGTGTGCGTGTGCGTATATGCGCGCGCACGCGCGCGCGTTTGTGTGTGTGTTGGTGTACAATAAAGAATATATTGATTAATTGATTGACTATTGAGTTGTCGAAAACTGGGCAGATTTGACAACTGAGTCATGGCTTCTCGTGTTCCCTGTAAAAGAATCCATCACTCAATTTCTTCCCGTAGGTGTCGTAAAAAGTGACAAGGAAAAATGCTAGAAAAATCTTATCTTTATACATATAATACCTGTGTGTTGTTGCCTTGCGTATGTGGACTATGAGAAAGCTTTGATTCCGTTGAAATTTGGGCGGTAATTTAGTCCCGTCAGTGGTACCAAGATTAAATTAATATTTTTTAATCTGGATGTAGCCGTGGTTAACTATGACATTGGGACGTCAAACATCTCAGTACCCCCGTGACCATGGGTGCGGTTAAGTACTCGAAACGTCGGGAATATAAAATAAGTTAATATACGCGATAAAATCCGCAAAACTAGTTTTATTTAAATAATGAAGTTGTTGTTGAAGTAATGTGTTTTGTTCGATTTCTATTATAAGTGGTGACAGGCGTTCTGGAAACTGCAGTACGAGTACCATGTATCTCGCACTTCTACGCTGTTCTTCGGCTACGGGTTGTATATTTCACAACTGGTATATACCAGATGGTTTATAGGCATCAATCGTAGATCAAGAGGTCTTTCTGGTCTATCTGTTATGGCAAATTAGGGTGGGATTCTTTTACGGCAGTATTACATGGTTTTTATTTTTATTATATAAAACTAGCTAGTACCCAACGCATTACTGCCGCAGAAGAAATAATAGTGAAAAATGTAGTTTTATATTTAGAAGAATTATATTGTTTAATTATTAGGAATGCATTCATTAAACAATATACAATTTTCAAACAAATTTGTAGTGTAAGTTATTTGTAAAAAGCCTATATATAACCTTTTCATAAGTGCAAGCAATAAGTTGATAAAGATTTAACATAATCTGTGGACGGTATGGTAGCGCATAAAATACGAAAAAACAAATATTAATTTTTATATATTAGGTAAGGGTGATAAACAAGCACAAAGTCACCTAATGGTAAGTGGTTACTGTGGTACCTGAGGGCTAAGATAGAATGCCTCATTTCTAGTAAAAAGGTTCTTAGACCTTTATACTCGACATACGAAATACAGCATTAAGCTGCTATTTCAGATGCGGTCCTTCACTGCTGGCCGTATGAGGACGCTCAAAGTCGCTCAGAGCTATGAAGAGGGCTTTGCTCGGGGTTTCTCTGGGAAATAAACTCAGAAATGAGGATATCCCCAGTAGAATCAGAGTAACCGACATAGCCCAACGGATTAGTAAGCTGAAGTGGCAAAGGGCCGGCTAATTGCCGAGCTATGGCTAGCTCGAAGAACCGACCATCGATGGCGAAGAAAGTTTCTCGAGTGGCAGCCTCGTACAGGTAGGCGAGCCCCCGACTAGATGGAGTGACGACCTGGTAAGACATGCAGGAAGTCAATAAAGGCTCGGGACCGTGCTGTGTGGCATTCCTTGGGGAAGGCCTATGTTCAGCAGTGGACTTGTGATGGGCTGGAATGATGTTGATGATGATGATGATTTTGTGAGAGCGTGGTTCTTCCCTGATCGAACCGACCCATTCGTGCAATAATCGTAATATAGCTGCAGTGTGACCCCACCACCAATGATATAGTCATCATTATCATTACAGCCCTTCACAAGTCCACTGCTGAACATAGGCCTCCCCCAAAGAATGCCACAAAGCACGGTCCTGAGCCACCTGCATCCATCGACTTCCTGCATATCTTACCAGGTCGTCACTCCATCTAGTGGGGGGACGCCCTACACTTCGCCTGCCGGTACGAGGCTGCCACTCGAGAACCTTTCTTCCCCATCGGTTGTCGGTTCTTCGAGCTATATGGCCGGCCCATTGCCACTTCAGCTTACTAATCCGTTGGGCTATGTCGGTCACTCTAGTTCTACTGCGGATATCCTCATTTCTGAGTTTATCACGCAGAGAAACTCCGAGCATAGCCCTCTCCATAGCTCGCTGAGCGACCTTGAGCTTCCTCATCCGGCCAGCAGTGAAGGACCACGTCTCAGTTCCGTATGTCATCACTGGCAACACGCACTGGGTGTACAGTCTCGTTTTCAAGTTTTGAGGTATACCTGACGAGAAGATGTGCCGTAATTTCCCGAACGCTGCCCAACCGAGTTGAATCCGTCGATTGACCTCTCGGTCGAAGTTGGACTTACCTAGTCGGACTATTTGTCCCAGGTAAACATACTCGTCAACAACTTCGAGCTTAGTGTTCCCAACAACTACCGGCATAGGTGTGACATGGACATTAAACATGATATTTGTTTTGTCCATGTTCATCTTAAGACCTATCCGTTGGGAAACACTATTGAGGTCATTGAGCATAGTGCTTAGGTCCTCCAGCGATTCTGCCATAAGGACTATATCGTCGGCAAATCGAAGGTGAGTGATGTACTCGCCATTGATGTTGATACCGTATCCTTTCCAGTCCAGAAGCTTGAAAACATCTTCCAATGCAGCGGTAAAGAGTTTCGGGGATATGACGTCACCCTGTCTTACACCTCTCTGCAATTGGATAGGTTTCGTACTCTGGTTCTGTACTCGGATAGCCATCGTAGCCCTACTGTACAAGCACTTCAACACTTCGATATACCGACAGTCAACTTGGCATCGCTGAAGGGACTGCAGCACCGCCCAAATTTCGACGGAATCAAAGGCTTTCTCATAGTCCACATACGCCAGACATAGTGGCAAATTGTACTCCTCGGACTTCTGTACAATTTGCCGAAGGGTATGTATGTGGTCTATGGTGCTAAAGCCTTTTCGGAAACCGGCTTGTTCGGGAGGCTGGAAGTCGTCAAGTCTGCGCGCGAGACGATTCGTAATGACTCTCGAAAACAGCACGTAGACGCGGCTCAGAAGGGAAATCGGTCTGTAGTTCTTCAAGAGAGCGTTGTCGCCTTTCTTGAAGAACAAGACCACCGCACTTCTGCTCCACGCCTCCGGTGTAATGCCACCATGGAGGACGGAATTAAAGAGCTTCTGAAGGACTTCAAGTACCGGTTTTCCACCCGCTTTCAGAAGCTCCGCTGTAATTCCATCCTCGCCTGGGGCCTTGCCGTTTTTAAGGTGCTGGAGAGCCATTCTAATCTCGCTCAGACTGACGTCCGGGATATCATCGGAATAATGTCGGATAAGACTCGCTCTTGGATCGTTACTCACACTTGCGTGCGGCTCCAACGATGACGTGTACAGCTGCCCATAGAACTTCTCAATCTCACTCAAAATCTCAGGTGCCCCGGAAACGATGCTGCCACATTCTGTCTTCAGCTTTGACAGTTGGCGCTTTCTGGCAGACAGATCTCTGGCAAAGACTTTGGAGCCTCGGTTCCGCTCGATCGCTTCATCAATACGAGCTGTATTGAATTTGCGTAAGTCCCGCCGCATGCATTTGGAGATCTGTCTGTTCAGTTGCCTGTATGCTGTTAAATCTGTTGAAGAATGTAGCTTCATCTCCCGTCTAACAGCCATGAGATTAAGAGTGTGATCGGAGAGTTTTTGTGTTCTTCTGCGGCGGGTCTTGCAGAACTTAGCTCCGACCGCATGGACAGTTTCCACGAGCTTGTCATTCAAATCGTCCACTTCATTGCAGTCTTCTAGGCACTGAAAACGGTTTTGTAACTCGAGCTGAAAGGTTTCGGGACTTTGGATTAGAGCACGAGGGGGACGGAGCGTTGACTTCATTAGACGAGACCTCTCCAACTTAACGTTTAGGTTCAGTGTGCCTCTAACCATTCGGTGATCGCTGCCGGTTTTCACCCTCGCGATCACTGAGACATCACTGAACAGTTGTCGTCTGGTCGTCATAATGAAGTCAATCTCATTTTTTGTCGAACCGTCGGGGCTCGACCAGGTCCACTTCCTGTGGGGCCGCTTCTGGAAGAAAGAGTTCATCATAAAGAGTCCCTCTTTCTCCATGAATTCGGCCAGCTGCTGGCCCCTTGGGTTCCGTTGCCCTATTCCAAATTTCCCTACTTTCAGCTCACCGTTCTCTCTTGTGCCTAGTTTTGCATTGAAGTCTCCCATTAACACCGTATATTGGGTTTTAGTGGTATAATTTAATTTAGTTAATTTTTAAAATTAGTCATATTAGTAAATACCCACCAGACAGGGCGATGGCAACTTTCTCAACCCCACCAAGTGGTTCCAGTGCATCACGCGCTTTGCTCCCGAATAGCTTCTCCAGATAATTGGGTCCATGTGAAGCCAACAACGATTGGAGAAAAGATGCCGTCTCTTCAACTGGCGGTCTTTTTGCTGTAAACAAATAATCTCTTATTAATTTTTTGTTATTGTTTGAGAGAATGGAGTCGGTTTTCTCTGTAAAGGTGTTTTAAAATAAATATTATTATTGCTGCTATATTGCTTATGGTGAATCATGAAGACTGGATATTCCTTTTTACTAGTAACGAGCCTTTCCTTAGGGCTGACGCACATGTATTTTTTTTATAGTATAAGGGTGACGAACGAGCACACAGTGCACCTAATGGTAAGTGGATACTGTGTCCCATAGACATCTGAGTTACTCATCAATTAAGAATTAAAATGTATTTTTATTTTTTGATTCTTAATTATCGATACGTGTAGATGTAGGTGTATATAATAGGCCACAGCATCCACTTACCATCAGGGGGGAGTGCTCATTTTGTCACCATTACCTTTAAAAAAGGGGTTTCGAACTTAATAAAACTTGCAAATAAAATTAAACTTTTAATAAAAAGTAAAAAACGATTTCAAAAAAGTAACGAAGGTAAGAAATGGATAAAATAATTTCAACAAAATGCCATCTAAAGTGAATGCTAAGCCGTGACTTTTCTTTCTATAGGATAAGGGTAACTTGTAAGAAGAATTGCTGTGGCTCAGAGACATCTACATCCATCTTCAATCACGATTCAAAATGCAAATGCGTTGTCACCCATGAGGACTAAGGTAGAATGCCTAGTATCCAGTAAAGTGGGTCTCCGGTTCTCTACATACATCATACGAAACACAGCAGCGTTAAGCTGCTATTTTACGCTAGTATTCTGTGAGAGCGTGGTATTTAATACGTGGTAGAGCCATGCTGCAGCTATATTAGTAGTATAGTTGTAGTACGAATAGGTCGGCTCGACCGGGGAAGGACTACGCTCTCACAGAATACCAGCGTAAAATAGCAGCTTAACACTGCTGTGTTTCGTATGATGTATGTAGAAAACCGGAGACCCTTTTTACTGGAAAAGAGGCATTCCATCTTAGTCCTCACGGGTGACAATGCATCTGCATTTTCATTCGCAAACGAGGATAAATGTAGCTGTCTATGGGCCACAGCAACCACTTACCATCAGGTGGAATGTGTGCTCGTTTGTCACCCTATCCTATAAAAAAAAACTTCCCCGGTCGAGCTGACCCATTCGTGCTACAACTATACTACTAATATAGCAGCAGTATGGCTCTACCACGTATTAAAACAGTGTAACAGCACACATAGTGAATAGAAGAATTCCCCTTCAGAAGCTGTTACGTGGAAATTATTTTTTAGTCATTTGAAGTTGGCTTTTACTTTTTATTAACAGTTTCATCCACAAACTTAATATAATAAACTAGAATATCGCCTAAATAAATACAATAAAAACTACATCCCCAATTTTCCATCATCAAATGTGATTTTTTTCTCTTAAAATTTTATGGCACCACCCTTGACGTATAACCTATTTAATAAGAAAATTAAAATTAAAATCGATTCACAACTGACGAAGACATCGCGTAAGATACGAGTACATACAATAAATAGAGAAAAATAAACATACTGTCGAATTTAGGTTCTCCACATTCTTTGAAGTGGGCGTATAATAAAATGTAGAACGGTAACGACAAAGTACACATATTTTTAGTAAGTTAAAGCAAACACAATTTGATGTTTGACATTCGATTACGGCGGAGGGGAAATTTCATCCTGTTTCGTCCTCTGTAGGCTTAGATAAGTTGACTTTTTACAGTCAGTAACATTAATAGAAAACTGTATAGGTAAATGTATGGGAATGACATATGACATCAACGAAAAAAAAACGAAAAGAAATATCGTAGACAAGTTTTGTCCGAAACAATAGAACAGAATGTATATGACATATATTTTACAAAATGCCACCTGCTCCGGCTTCAAATCGTTATTTAGATTTAAATAGTCAAAGACCATTTACTTCAGAAATTTATCGTTTTCTTGAAGTGAAACTTTTTTTTTATAGAATAGGGTGACAAACGAGCACACAGTCCTACTGATGGTAAGTGGTTGCTGCGGCCCATAGACATCTACATTTATCCTTGTTTGCGAGGTTCCCCGGTTGAGCCGACCCATTCCTGCTACAACTATACTACTAATATAGCTGCAGCATGGCTCTACCACGTATAAAACTACAAAAATGAAAAGAAATATCGTAGACAAGTTTTGTCCGAAATAATAGAACAGAATGTATATGACATATATTTTACAAAATGCCACCCGCTTCGGCTTCACGTAGTTATTTAGATTTAAGATAGTCAAAAACCATTTACTTCAGCAATTTATCGTTTTCTTGAAGTGAAACTTCACAATGAAAAGTAATACCGTAGACAAGTTTTCTCCGAAATAAAAGAACAGAATATATATGACATATATTTTACAAAATGCCACCTGCTCCGGCTTCACCTAGTTATTAAGATTTAAGATAGTCAAAGACCATTTACTTCAGCAATTTATCGTTTTCTTGAAGTGAAACTTCAAAATGAAAAGAAATACCGTAGACAAGTTTTGTCCGAAATAATAGAACAGAATATATATGACATATATTTTACAAAATGCCACCTGCTTCGGCTTCACGTAGTTATTTAGATTTGAGATAGTCAAAGACCATTTACTTCAGCAATTTATCGTTTTCTTGAAGTGAAACTTCAAAATTAAAAGAAATACCGTAGACAAGTTTTGTCCCAAATAATAGAACAGAATATATATGACATATATTTTACAAAATTCCACCTGCTCCGGCTTCACTTAGTTATTTAGATTTAAGATAGTCAAAGAACATTTACTTCAGCAATTTATCGTTTTCTTGAAGTGAAACTTCTTTAGTATCGTTGTATAAAGCAATTTCTTCCAGACAAGAAAATTGTAGATAGGCTAAGATTTATACGTACGTGGTATTGCCATGCTGCAGCTATATTACTGGTACAGTTGTAGCACAAATGCGTCGGCTCTACTGGGAAAGGACCACGCTCTCACAGAATATCGGCATAAAATAACAGGTTTAAAATGCTGTGTTTCTTATGTTGTGTGTAGAGAACCGGAGACCCTTTTTTAATGGAAACGAGCCATTCCATCTTAGTCTTCCGGGGTGACAACGCATCTGCATTTTGATTTGTAATCGAGGATAGATGTAGATCTCTAGGGGCCACGCTCTTTTGTCACCCTTATTCTATATAAAAAAAAAAAACAGTGAACACACGCCAACAAAATAAAAAACTAGAAACCAAATTAGTTTTATATAATTAAAATACATAATGTCTGAGTACCGAAACAATTGAAGAAAATATCAATAATAATAAAACAGTCAAATTAAAACCTTCTTTTTTTGAAGTCTGCTAAATATAAATGCTTTTAAGTTGAATGTGTTTGTATTCACGTACTATATCGCGATGCTACATCGTTAATGGACTATAAAGCTAAAATAACAAAGTGAAAGCTCGCGAAAGCTCTGAGGGAAATTGCTCCTGGTAGCTTTTTCGCTATGTTTACAACACTTTTCAAGGAAGTAATTCAACGCATTTGAAATGTAAAAAAAAAAAGATTTCCTTTTCCCGATAGCTCCTTTAATGGAGGCAACAAATTCTTTAGTGACAATAAATCCAGATTATTTGATAGGCAGGCTAGGGTGTTAGACATTATTATCACCTGAAAGACCTACTTGCTAGTGGACGTGGAGGTAACAGGATTTCTATCATCACTCAAGAGCTCATCGGTATAGCGGGAACTTTGACTTACTTCATTCTCTTACTTCCCGGCCAATGCATAAGTAATAAATCCGTATACAATTAAAAATCAAATTAAAAACTTATATAAATTTTAAATGAAATTAATTTATACGGATTCTGTCGCTTTTAATTTAACTTTTTAATTCCTGACGTTTTGGGTGCTTTGCATTATTTAGCCCGGCTACCTTCCGGTTTTGAATATTATTTATATTAATTTTTGGTCCGTTCTACGCAGAATGATCAGTGAAGACACATTAGGATACTTAACCCAGTTTTTTCTATTTTATTCCATAACCTCTGTCCAAATACAATTCAAAAAAACATAAGTTTCAGTTCCTTCGCGATACTCATGACAGACAGCTTCGTTCATCGAGGACTCTTGCTCTCTTTACACCTCTTCACCTTTCGAGTTTCATATCTTCATCCTTTTCTGTTCAAGCCGCGCGCGCATGGAATGACTTTTTTTATAGGAGAGGTGGCAAACGAGCATGCGGCTTACCTGATGGTAAGTGACTACCGCCGCCCATGAACAACCGCAACACCAGGGGAATTGTAGATGGGTTGTCCCTAAGTCGTATTGGTCCGAAAAATTCGCTGGTGGTAATCGATTCCACAAGGGAGTTTTGCGAGGAAGAAAACATCTTCTAAATCGCACAGTGGTGGACCGCCAATCATACAGGTGGTATGGATGGTATCGCAAGTTTTGTCGCGATGTGCGATGGTGAAATTGAGCGGCTGGATTAGTCCGAAAAATTACTCAGAGCACTCCCCGTGGTAAATGCGATAAAATACGCAAAGAGATGCAACATCTCTGCGCAGTGCCAGAAAGAACTCGGTCGTCGACGATTCGAACTGCTCTGCACTGAATGCAGTCAAGTGGCAGGAGCTGGCACTGGGGTGCCCCGGCCCAGAGATGAGAACAGTATTCCATGTGAGGCCGGATTTTCGCTTTGTAAAGTTGCAAGCGATGTGCCGGCATAAAATACTGTCTCGCTCTGCTGAGCACGCCAAGTTTTAGACACCAGTTTAGCCTTCCCTTCCAAGTGACCACGAAACTACACAATATTCGATATGTCGACGCTGAGGATTTCGATGCTAGCTGAAGCAGCAAGGGTAGTGCCTTGAAACTGAGGAGATACGACAAAAGGGTTCTTTTTAGCGGTAAACGCGCATACTTGTGACTTCTGGGGCTTGAACTGGACTAGATTTAGTCGCCCCTAATCTGAGACTTTGTTCAGCAAAGACTCGACTTCAAATACAAGTTTGTACCGCAACTC